ATGGTAGCGTGGATGGTAGCGTGGATGGTAGCGTGGATGGTAGCGTGGATGGTAGCGTGGATGGTAGCGTGGATGGTAATGTGGATGGCAATGTGGATGGTAGCGTGGATGGTAATGTGGATGGTAATGTGGATGGCAATGTGGATGGTAATGTGGATGGTAATGTGGATGGACCTTAGAGTAATTCAGTGACAGAATTTCAATTACTTCTTTCGAAAGGCAAATCAAACTGATCGGCCTCATGCAAGAAACGGCAACCATGAAGCCATCAACCCTAGATTTCGAGAACCGTAGCCAATGACGACGGTCGGGTTAGTAGAAAGGAAATTGGTACGATTCGGGGGTGTATAATCTTGCATATTGAAGGTTCTGTCTACTTAAACAGGACAATAATCTTGTGACTCTAAATCTACTATCGATGTTCCACTCATACCAATCGGCCTGTGTTATCCTTCAACAAATGGGCGAATAAAGTCTATTCAATTAAACCAAGTACCTCATCTCCCATAAAAACTAGCAGTCGAAAATACCTCGTTGGAATGGCTACCCAATCCCTGCAGAAGTAAGCTATTCTACGTTGATCACCGCCGATGCAAAATACTAAATGGAAAGATTCATGAACTCAAACACAAGGCCTGCAAATGCGCCCCGTATTGGAATATTGAAAGAGTACGGAGGAGAAGTGAAATGTTACCCAGACCTTCGAAAGTGCCTGATTTTCCTTGCCAAGATGGATAATGGGACCATTGAGACGGTATATATTGAGCCGCTTGAAATCTTGGAAGGGGACAAATCGTCCGACTTGCGAAAACAAGATCGAGCCCGCCAGGCGAAGTACGTATTGTCGTCTGCAGAGTGGAATTTCTTGGAAGATCGATATACGAGGAAGCAAATCACGATGTAAACTAGTACTTCTACGCAGGCGAGAGTCAAGCTATTGGCCACGGTCGAAATTGTAACTTAAAAGCCATTCATAACAGAAAAAAATCCAAAGATCTGTGGGGAAACTTTGTTTCCTGCGTTTTATCTCCACCGCTGTTTCTAGGCGTCGTGCTTCGAATGAATCCAACGCGGTATATGTAGGTGTGAAAATTGCATCTAGTGGTGATCAGAGGCCATACAACAGGCTCAGTGGTTGTCGAATCAAAGCAGCTACACACTAGTGCCGACTGGAAACAAGGACAATGCCGTTTAGGAAAGTGGTCGAGATTATGTTAGTTCCGGAGCTGATTATGCCAGACATACGAGTCGATGTTTTGCAGAGATTATTTATAGACTGGCTTCATCTTCCAATTAGAACTTGAAGGATGCAAGCCTCAAATTAACACGGAGACAATCTGCGGCGAGACCTCACGGGTATAGGATCTCTTTAGTTGTGGTTCTGGCAACTTCATGCCAGTGCTTCCCCAGATAAGAGTGGGGAGGACCCCTGTAAGCTACTTAAAGAATCACTGAAGCCCTCTGTAGTGCAAGCCGGTCTGTGACTTGTTCAATTTGTTCCCATTTACCAAACTGATTACCCTCACCCGTCCAAAAGAATGGACCATCAAGGAACAGAGTGTGCTTTGCTGGAGGGTATATTGAAAAATTCAAAGAAAGTATACGTTTGCCCCCTCTGTTTCACTTCGTACTCTGAAGCAAGTTCTCTTTTCAAGCATTGTCGAAAAATGGGAGAGGGAAAGGGAAAGAAAGGACAAGTGGCAGATCCCATACATGAAGGCCTTGGAGCTGTGCACACAAAAGGAGATTTCGGCGATTTTTGAGAGAGCCTGGGCATTGCTATTGGATGGGAGGGGATTCCAGTCGACAAGTTACCTTTGAATTTGGTCAAATCCGGCCCGCGGGAATATGGCGCTTGCTTCAAAGTATGCTTCGTTGTTGATATGAAGACTCGTTTGGATTCGCATAACACCGCTGGAAGATATGCTATCCTGAGACACATCGCCAAGCTTGCTGGGATACATTATGCTTGCCCCTTGTGTATGAGTGGATTTGCAACCGCTTGTCGCGTCTTACAGCACTGCGAGCATAAAAAGGACGGACACCACACAGGCCTTCTGTCAGAGGAGCAGAACGATTTCTTAGCGTTCTACAGGAATTCTACGGGACAGATACTTGAGTGTGACGACTTGAAGATCGATTACGATGAATATGGAAGACCCGATTTCCGCGAATGCTTTCAACTTGACGAGATCCTCAAGTGCAAACGTAAGACCTCTGTTGCCGCTGCTGTCATCGCTAAGACATCATCCTGACAAAGCAAAAATTAGTCCTAGGAACCAAGCAAATTAGAAGGAACAAGTGACAGATTGGCTCCCAAGCGCGAAAAAAATCGGGTTGTGGGTTTGATATTGATGGCTAATGGGGGATCGGCCCCCAGCATTTTCTGTCCGCAGATCTTACTTTTCCGCCCTCTAGCCATAATGAAATGCCACTCTTGACTAGGATAACCATTTCCTACTGTATATTCGTTTAACCCATAGCATGTTCGCATTCCCACTCGTCAAAGG